AAATTGAAGGATGTTAGGGGCTGACCCATTCCATGGAAAGTAGCAATTTAATAAGAGAAGTCTCAGTGGACTGAAAGGGGAAAGGTCAATCGTCATAGGTTGAGGAGGACAGGGTGCAGAGGAAGATAAGATGAGAGAATGAAGGCAATTATTTGAAGAAATTTGACTCTGAAGAGAAAAGAAGAAAGGGAAGTAGCTAGATTGAGAGATAGGGTTGAGGATGACTACAGCATGCAAGCAGAAAAAGAGGGAGAAGTCGAAGATACAACATAAAGAGAGAGCTTAACTGAAGACGGAAGTGCCCTGAGAAATCAGAAGATGAGATTCAGGATAAAATACCATCCATGGCTAAGGGGAGGATTGCTCCAGCCAAGAGAAAGCAAATCACCTGGGTTCAGATGGTCTGACTTTGCAGATACCCTTGCTCCATTGCTGACTAATGCCGAGCTTATTCTCTATGAAACATTTACCCATTTTCCAACAAGGGAAAACAAGAATTACACACATAGGCCAATATATAAATAAAGGTCACAAAATATTGCATACCAATAATTGAAATTAGAATAGAGAAAGAAAAGAGAATATAGAATATTTGGCAACATTTTTGAGAGGAAACTCGAGTTGAGTCTTGAGAAATTTGGAGAGTTGGAGAAGACAAACAGTTGATTTGTTCCAGAGAAAGAGAGATGTACGTTTTAGAATCATCAAGATCTAAGTGGTGTTGAACACAAGTGTGTTGTGTCATCTAATACTTTTGACTTTTAATCTAATTGCTTCCTGAATAAGGCTGACGGCAATCTAGAAGGTACACACACACACACACACACACACACACACGCACACACCTGGAATCATATATGTGTGTGTGTGTGTGTGTGTATACACACACACATAAAATGGCGTCACTAATTGTTTCTTTCTTTATATTCAGGGCATGCTCTATAAATTATGCCTCCTAAAATCCTTATCTATAGTAGTATCTTTTAAATCAGTTTTACAACTATAATGTCTTGAGGGTCATTTTCATTTCTTAACAATAAAGTATCTGTTAGTGAAAAGTCCTTTGGTTTCATGTTTCTAGAGCATTTATTAAAAAAAATAGTTTCCAGACATTTTAAATGCATACTTAATTTGCCTTCTCCCCTAGTTTCTTATTCTAGGAAATAAAAACAAGATTCCAGATGTGGTTCAGTCTGTGTGGAGCACAAGGGAATGGATATTATCCTGGGGTAGACTGTATATTTAACCAGTCAACGGTTGGCAGCCAAATGACCCTTAAGCTCCTTTAAACCTTCTTGTTACCTAATCTCCTTGGTCTTTTTTTTTTTAATATGGAAGTGTTGAGAAAGAAAGTCAAAGGGAAATAATTGTTCCTGAAACAAAGGTAAGATAGAATTATCAGCAAGCAGCAGTGCAGCACTGCAGACTTGAGTGGCTTGCAGGCATCTTACCGGCCATTCCTCCTTTCCAGCCACGAGAAATGAAGAACATCATGTGTACCCCACTCAGGGGAAGGGGTTGTGGAGTCTCTTGAAGTTGATCCACTCAGATTCACACATGGGCTTCAATGGGAGCTGAGGTCTTGAATTCTTCCTATAATTTTCTGTTTGTCTACCATATATAACATTTTATTTGCTACTTCTGAGTGATTAAAAGAGGAAAGGACACAAAAGAGGGAAAAAAACCTCACTATATTTCTTACAGTTAAGTCACCCAAATTATGTACTGACAGAAGCTTACCAAGCAGCAGTGAATCAAAACTGACTGATGAAAATGAATGTCAGTCTGTGATATTTTATCAACCTTGATGCAATGATACCCCATCACCACTCTGCCACTCTAAATTGGGTGAAATACTAAGATTCAGATACTTAAAGAAGACCACATCAACTAATTCTGTGCCATACCCTTCCTCTTGAGAATATTTAAGCTTCTTCTTGCCACATGTGTTTTATTACTTTTTAGGTCATACCTACGTGTTTTTTAAGGATCACATGCCTATCTCACGTGCTCTTGTAGGCTCCATAAACAGGAGTGTCTGGTGGCTCTGCTCATGCATTCCAGCTGTGGGGTGTTGTTTCTTATTCTCCTTTTATATATTCTTTATGTGTCATGTTTTTATTTCAAACTTTAATGAGAATGTTCATAACTATGTATTGAGTCTCTACTATCTACAAGTTAGTGTGTTAACTATTTTGTATACATAACTCACTTTGATTCATACAATATCAAATTATCATTATTATTGTTATAACTATTTAAAACATAAGAAAACTGAGGCCCAGAGTGACCTCACTGCAGTTATACTACTAGGGCATTGAGGTACATGGATTCAACTCGTATCATCTGGTCCCAGTGACAGGCTGTCCTACTACACACAACACAGTCATCTCTCAACGGTACTTAGGAAAGTCCTTGCATTTTGTTCCAAAGGAAGTGAAAGTCTGCAAAGTCCCTACCCTTGGCATGAAGAAAGCAAATCTATAACTGTCAGCTCCTTGCTTATCAATAGGTACCACCATCATTTGCATCATTTTATTGTGACTAAAACCCACCATGATCATCGCCACCAATTGCTTTGAAATGTTGGAATCATACCTGTCACTCACAAATTTAATCAAGTCCAATCATATTCCTAATGGACCTTAAAAGCAAGAATAAGTATGCATATTTCCCTTGATGGCTCCATTGCCTATAGGCTCAATGCAGCCCTCATATGGGGTTGATTGGTCCAGTCAGTGTAGGGTCTCACTATAATTTTTTAAAGAAATTTAATTCATTGCCAATATTGGAAAACTGAAAGCTTTTTCATTAATAAGCTAGTCTGGCTCTTTGGTCTTGTATTAAAGAATGGCATAATTTCCTGTTGCTAATCGATACTACAGCCCTGCTTTAGTTGAGACACCTACTTTATGCTTATTTCTCTTTCCCCCGACACTGAGATTGTGTGTCAATTTCCATTTATTACTAACACAAAGGTGGATTCACATACTTTTTGACTTGCTTGGCCCCTGTAGGCATTTAAATTTGTATCTGTTTCCGTTGCAAGAAACAGCTTTAGAGAGCAATTTACTTTAAGTTTTCAGGTAAAAAGTATTCTTAGTAATGTGCCTTGCATCATCAAATTAAATATGATTTTTTCCTTCTGTTATTTGGAAGAGATTTTTATTCTTCGAGGGCTATTTGTAGATCCCAACACTTTGACACAAAAACATCAAATTGTTGTAGACAAGATGCCAGAGTGTATAGTAAAGGCAGTAGTTGACATTGATGGGCAGACTTTAGATTCTACCATTTTCACCTTGAAAATGGAAATGGAGAGACATGCAATTCTACAGCGGTATAGAATTTCTTCAGGAGAGAACTTTGGCTTGGTCTTCATTCCACTTTGACTGTTTGGAATTTACTTTGAAATCTCTGCCTGAAAAGATATTGGAATGTGGAGATTCAAAATCATTCCCTGTGTCTATGCAACATTCACAGATGTACTTTCAAACTGAGACAAAAGCCTTATTCTATATCCTTTGAATGGCCTCTAAGTAGAGGTATTTGAATTGTAGATATTGTGCAGTACATTTCTTTACGTTTTCCATTTGATAGACCTGTAGGAATATGTGTACAGGTGAATGTTTGACATATTTATAACCGAGATGAATTAATATGTTTTTCTCCAAATTTCATGAGTTGGACAATATATCTGAAAATTTAATTTTCTACATGTGCTGTGTAGTATAAGCTCTTCAATACAGAATCATAGCTGGATGCATAAAAAGATGAATTGACTTGCCTGGGGCCACAGAGTAGTTCAGGAACAAAGATGAGAACTAAAGTAAGTGTCACTGCTGCCATTTTTGAGCATTTACCATAGATCAGGCACAATGCTAAGTGACTACATAATCTCTTTTAAACCCATCAGTCACTGTGATGTAGATGTTATCTCCATTTTAAAATTGAGCACACTGAGGATATCAGACATGAAATTATTTGCTGAGTCTAACACCGCTAAGACCTGGGGACTAGGATTCCAGAACACAGCTGTATGCTTCTAAAACGATGTCCTTAAGACATGGGATACATACTGGGGATACCAAGAATGTGACATTTCTGCCTCTTCTGTGGTGTGAGGTGTGACCTTAGGCCAGCTATCTAATATCCCTGAGCCTCAGTTTCCTCGTTTGTGAATGGGCATGACACCCACTGCATAGGATTATTGTTTGGGGGAAATTGTTTGGGGAAAAATACCCATCTGCCTCAAAACAGTTATACATTCAATGCTAGTTTCCTACATCCAGTTTTTCCTCTCAGCCAAATGATGTGGCCTTTACTACGAGTCCCAAAACACCACCTTAAAAGAAAGAGAAAATATCCAATGATCCTATTCTTTTTTTAGCTTTTTCCTAAGGTGACTAGTCAATATCTCATTTGCATTATTAACGAAAACAATGTCAGTCATTATCTACTGAGATCTTTAAGAACAAAAAGAAATGCAACAAACCAGTAACTATATAGCACCTAGAGTCAAAAGGTGGTTAAAAAAAAAATCTAAACTAGATTAAAACCTGTTGGCAGTGGCTAAAACAAGTCCTTGGGGTGATTTCTGAGTGGAATTTGTGATGGCTGTTTCAAGTTAGTTGTTGAGATAGCAGATCTCTTTATGGGAATGGGAGGTGAAGTTTAATGTCACATTAGCACAGACTGAGCAGGTAGGGTGCTCTTAGCCACCAAATGCAGCAGCAATCTTTGTCAACTATCCATTTCTACAAGCACACGTGGGGAAGATGTAAAATTCACTTGTTTTTGGAAGCCGACCATGGATTTTGTAATTAACATTCCTTCCTTTCACACACACACAGAGGCCACGAAAGGCCTTCTGTTTTCCCCCCGTCTGCCCCTACCCTACTGCAACTGCCCAAATCACTTCTGAAAACAGGGGCGATGGAAAAGAGTCCCTAGATTATCCACATTTTATCCTCTTTTTTTCTTAAATTTATGTTTTGCAGGACAAATGATACTGGCTTTCTTTCCTTCAAAGACCACTTGCCTGTCACTCAGATAGTTATCACTGATACCGACAGATCAAACTCAGAAGCCGCTTGGAGAATTGGTCCCTTGCGTTGCTATGGTGACCGTGAGTACTAAATCGAAAGAAGCTTTACATGAACACAAGATGTTTTTACTCCCTTATCCCTTTTCCCTGCAGTGTGCCCTAGTCTTGAAAATTATCCACATGCCCAGTGCTTTCTCATATCCCATTGAAAAAGATAAACCATGCTGAAGGATTTTCTCATTTGCAGGACGCTTCTGGAACGCCGTCTCGTTTTATACAGAAGCCTCTTACCTCCACTTTCCTACCTTCCATGCGGAATTCAGTGCCGATATTTCCTTCTTTTTTAAAACCACAGCATTATCCGGAGTTTTCCTAGAAAATCTTGGCATTAAAGACTTCATTCGACTCGAAATAAGCTGTAAGTGCCCTAAATTATGAATTTAATGTAACTGACCAACAAACAAGTTTTAGTCTTGTCTTTGCCACCAATCACTAGTGATCATTTGTACCAGCAAATTAATCTCACTGGACTTCTGTAAAATTAGCAGTTGATAATGTCTAGTTCCTTCTGATGCTTTGTGATTTATTATGAACTGTCAGTATTTAATCAGTCAGTCTCTCATCAAACTATGGACATTCCAAAAAGCCTCATAGACACCTATTAGTTTCCAAAGGTATTTCTGACTTGTGACTTTAATCTTCCATACTACAGGACTTTTATTATGACACTTTCCGTGCAAAGGTGAAAAGAGGATTAATATGCTTTCTATTCATAGTTGGGGTCTCCTTTTTTATTTTACCTTTGCTCCAAACGTAATTTCCTGACTTGTTTCACACCCTAGGGGCATGTGACCATCCAATCAGAATTTCCATGGTTTCCCTACCACTTCCCCATCAACAGTGGCATATCTAATACACTTGATGCCAGGAAGTGGATCACCTCTTGGCACTGCATACCCAACATATAAACTATATTCAGTAATAATTGTGACATGTGATGAAAAATAACAGAAATACAGATGGTGAAATTTCCTATAATTAAACATTTTGTATACAATTATTATAATGTTTCAATACCAATACAAGACCATTTAAAAATTACATGAAGTCATATTTTTAATAAAAAGGAAAAAGCATACCTACATACTTGTCTGTTGTGATCATAGTAATACATTTAAATTTATGTTCCTGAGTCTCTACCTCTGCAAATTTGACAGTGACTTTATAAAATTTAAATTTCTTCCCATGTTCATATTCAAAAGAGTATACTCATGTTCATTTATCTTATATTGAGCAAATAATACTTTCTGTTAATTTTAGCTTTCTCTTATGAAAGAAGAGCTATACAGATAGGTAAGGTTTTAAACCTCAGAATATACTTGTTAAAAATTCATAAAAAAATGATTTTATATTAAATTATGGAAATTCCAATACTGTCAATGTTTTTATTTGAGGATTGGTTTTAGAAACTTCCAAATATTTCTGCAAGCAAAAAAAATCACTAAAATATTTTCAGCGAAACAATATTATAAATTTCTATACTATTAAGTAAAAAGTTACCATATTCCTAAGAATTTGAAATTGCTTGAGTTCTAGTAAGGTGCAAATTTTGTCTCAAACCTCTGTGGTTCCAGACATTTATGTATTCAACATTATATTTGAGTTAAACAATGCTAGGACAGTAATTAGACAGATGAAAAATGAGAACTCGAGTTCTTAATCTTAAAATAAACAAATATATTTGATTCTGTATGTTTAGGAGACAATGGGAAATCTGGAGTTCTCTGTATTAACTTTCCCTCATAATATAATATTTATTAAGTGGAAAATAATAAAACATACTAATTTGAAGTTTACATATACATTGTTAAAAATTAACAGTAGCATCCAAGTGCAGAGGCTCATGCCTGTAATCCCAGCACATTGGGAGGCCTAGGCTAGGCAGGAGGATCACTTAAAGTCAGGAGTTCAAGACTAGCCTGACCAACATGGTGCAACTCTATCCTACTAAAAATAAAAAAAATTATCTGGGCGTGGTGCCAGGAACCTATAATCCAGTTACTCTGGAGGCTGAGGCAGGAGAATCTCCTGAACCCAGGAAGTGGAGGTTGCAGTGAGCTGAGATTGCACCACTACACTCCAGCCTGGGTGACAAGAGTGAAACTCTGTCTCAGAAAAAAATAAAAATAATAAAAGTAGGTTCAGCATCTTTGTTCCAACAGACCAACAAAAAATTTGTTTGGTGAAGGAATATTTTATCACTGACATTGTTTAGAATTATTTGTTCATGGTAATAATTTTTAAAAAGATATATTTTAGTGACTTTTGCTATTGTTTTAGGTTCTCTGCACTCAGTGCACTCCTTATTGCTTATATATAGAGTAGGCTGCACCCAGCAGCTTGCCCTTGTTATTTCCATGACCATAAAGGCTCAGGCTTGTCATTAGGTGCCCTATCTGTGTGTGTCTAAATGAATGTTTTTCTGTAGTTTGATTGAGGCAATTGACCATATCATTATAATGATGTGACTGCATGAAATACCATTGAAAGTCTAAGTAATGTCTTAGCAACAGAAATTGGAAATTTGAGAGCTCCAGAAAAGGAGACTCCCCCGCCCAAAAAATAAAACTGACTGGGGAGCTGGAGGAGATGGTAGAGGTGTCTAAGTCCCCAGCAAAAGACCAAGCAGCTAAGTGTTTCTTTTGCAGCTACAGCACAATACATACAAGGAAAAGGATCTTCTTAATTGGTAGTTTTAACCTCCTTTTACTCCAACAACTGAGACTATTAATGGGAGGAAGCTCTTGTGGCTTTGGTGTGAAACAAGATCCCTCATACCTAACTTGGCCAGTGTCTAAAAATGTTGACTTGAATGCCAACCATTTTATAATATGGATATGATAACCTCGATGTAAATTTAATAAAAATTAGGCCCCGTGGCCTTTTGATTCATTAAAATGGCAGCAAATGCCATGGTACATTACTACAAGGTCATGACTGATGATTTAGTGTTAATTACATATCAATGTCCAATTTGTTTGTACTTTGTGGTATTGCATTTTCCCTTTGGCTTGTGCAATATTGTTTTTAACACAGGTTAGAATTACATTTGACAAAAATCAACATCCATTGAAGTAATTTTTTGCTGTATAATATATCACCAGATTGCAGAACATATACTTTCCAAGACAATATTTTATATAGAAACATTGAGGCCGGGCGCGGTGGCTCAAGCCTGTGATCCCAGCACTTTGGGAGGCCAAGGCAGGTGGATCACGAGGTCAAGAGATCGAGACCATCCTGGTCAACATAGTGAAACCCCGTCTCTACTAAAAATACAAAAAATTAGCTGGGCATGGTGGCGCATGGCTGTAATCCCAGCTACTTGGGAGGCTGAGGCAGTAGAATTGCCTGAACCCAGGAGGCAGAGGTTGCGGTGAGCCAAGATTGCACCATTGCACTCCAGCCTGGGTAACAAGAGCAAAACTCCATCTCAAAAAAAAAAAAAAATTGAAAAGTTCAAGATCGTATAGTTCTCAAAATATTTGTTATTATTAATATTTAAAAGGGGAAAAGACCAAACTGTGGGGTGGGAGGGGGGGAGCATCTTGCATTCTTTACACTCATATTATACATTTTAAGCAGATGTAATTTTTACCCTAAAGGGTTCATAGCAAGAAACCACCACAGACCAGCCACTTGGAAAGGAAATGGCCTTTTAACAGATGCAGTGGCTCAGAATAGATTTCCTTCCCATCCCCAAGGAGTGTTCCTCTAAAACTATCTGAGCAGCAGTTTCCAAGGTTGATATATCCAAATTGTTGAGCAGGGAACAGTAGGATTCCATGAAATTTTCAATCTTTTTCCTTCCAGCCTACTTTTAAAGATATTTAAATTTTGTAGCCCATACTCTATGAAAAAGAAGACATGCCGCTATGTTCTCAAGTCTTAGTGAATGTGTTTTAGTGAGCCTGTGAAAACAATAGCTATTTTGATACTTATCTCACAATCACTGTACAGGTAGAAATTGCTATTTTAGAGTAGATGAGGAGAGCAGAGGAGAGCCTTTGAGAGTCAATTCTGGCATAGTGGAAAGAACTTAGACAAGAACCCAATGTGGACCCAAACTTTCGTTCTTCCAAGTGGGTTTGTGAGCTGCCTTGAGCAAGTTCTTCTCCCTTCCTGTGCTTGTTTATGCAACATGGGGTTTGTGGCATCCATATGCCATGCAAATGCCTTTGGCTGCAAATAACAGAAAATTCAATCTGAACTGGCAGCCACAAGAATGGAGCATGTGACTGAGCCCAGAGGAAGTAGGACTGGCTTTATTTATGGTTGTTTTCAGTAGTTTAACAAAGGTATCAGTGGTCTGATGATTTTCTCTCTCTGTTTTGAATGTTGAATGTCTACCTCAGTCTAAGGCTAGTTCTGCCTCATGGTGGAGCTGCATCCCCAGCTGGTGAAAAATCCCTGCTTTCCTGCCTTATAATAATCCTCCTGAGAGACCATTCACTTGGTCCCTAAGAACCAATGTCTGTGGCTGGGAAAGTACAGATTGCAGATCGGTTTATATCGGGGCCCACCCCCGCACCAGAGAGTGGGTAGTTTCCCCTAAAGCTCATGGGAAAGTGAAAGAGGGAACAGTTTCCCAAAGCAAACAGTATTGTTAGAAAGAAGGTAGTCATCAGGGAGACAATCAATGAGAATTCTTCTAAGTCAGTTGTCAGAATTTAAATATGTAATTTATTTTTAAAAATGCCTGGAAAGGAAACAAAACCAGAAATTTCCTGAGCTGATCAGGGAAAAACTATACACCTATTTGCTGTAGTGTGTGTGTGTGTGTGTGTGTGAATGTATGTATATGTTTATGTGTGTGTATATATATATGTGTATACTGTATATGCACATATATATATTCACAAAAAGAGAGAGAAAGATTTAATTTTATGATTTCAAAATATCATACTGAGACTATTACCAAATGTGATGTTAACTTGAACTCATTATAGTTAGAACCTCAGAAAATAGTACAAAGGAATACTATCAATAATTACATTTTTGTTGAATTGTTTAGCAATTATTCTGATTAGACACTATACTAAATTCTTTAGTTTTAGAAATCAGAAATTCTTCTGATTTCATTTTGTTTCCAAGCACTCCCATTGATGACTATCACTGTGTTGTACTGTGATTTTATCATCACACAGTGCGCAGGTCGGAAGGATGAGCCTGGAGAGGAGAAGTAGCAAGTCCTGGATAGAATGGATGGGAAGAGTTAGAATCCAGAACCCACCCAGCTCTGTCTGGCTCCTTACAGCACCCCCAACTCTGCTTTGCATGGGTTTACAGGATTGACAGTGTTAGAACTCAAGAGAACATACAATTATTTACTTCCAGGATTTGAGGCACAGTACCTATGGGAAGACCCTGCAATTCTGTGCAATACCACATGGACTATTTGTCTAAAGATAGAAACTGTGGCTGCCATCAGATCCTTAAAGAGATGATGTCTCCAAAACTTTTTAATGGTATTTTTTTTAGTTCACACTTCTCATTTAACACATGGACACATGGAAGGTCAGAGAGATTAACTTGCTATGCTAAGGTCTTACACATTATTTATTCCATACATGGATGCTGACATCTCTCCCATGCCGACCCGGGGTGGGAATTGAGGGCACAGAAATGGAGTGCTGGGAGAACTCATGAAGCTCAGGACTGAGTGCTGGGAGAACTCCTCAGTGTATACCAAGGATATTCTCCAATGGGCTTGGTGGTCAGTCCTGGAAGAACATCCTTCAGGAGCATTTTTAGCAGCCTTCTTCTCATGTCTAGGAGCACTTGGTAGAAACTCTGTAATAGCCCTAAACATGCCCCTTTCTTTTATTTATCAGTCTTCTCTAAAGAAATCACAATCTCATCTTATTTCATTTGTCTTAGAATTCTCAGTGCCTAGCATAGGGCCTGGCTTGAATAAAATCTCCCTGAAAGGCTGAGGAGAGTCTTTAGCTTTGCCTTGAACCATAAAGAAGTAGCTGGTGAGAGAAGGCATTCGTAAGAAGGTTGGGGGAAGGGAAGCTGAGAGGGTAAGTTCATGATAGGGCTAATGCTGTCACGGGTCTCCTCCCGTCCTATTCAGGGCCAGTGGGCAATGTTCATCTCTTCAGCAAGTGACAGCCAGCTTGAGTTTGCCTTAAGTGCCCTGTCATAAAGGCACCGGCCAAAGTGGGATGTATCATTCATTCACTCACATTGTTATCAGGCACCTTTATTATCTATTCTAGCTTTGACTACCCAGGGCAACTGCACAGGTTTCCAGATTTGGAAGTTTTAGCATAGGAATAAGATTTACAAATGGAGCTCTGGGAAATATCACCTAGATTCAAACCCTGAGTCTGCCCCACCCCCACTGGGTCAGCTTACTTTGCCATCTGTACCTCAGTTTCTGCATCTGTAAAAGATTACTTGGTTCATAAGGTTGTAGCCAAGCTTGAGAGTCAATTCATGAAAAACGAGTAGCAGGGTACTTGGCTCACAGTACCTGCTCAATAAATATTGACTAATTTTATTGAATTTTACGGATTCTAGGAGGAATTGCTTAAACATGGTGTGTCTTTAATAGTTGCTTTAATAAAGTTAAATAGTAATAATTTAAAGACTTTCCAAGGACCCTAATACCTTGGTATAAAACTAAAAATATAAAGAAAATTTCAGAATTGTATTTAGTATGTGCAGTGTAATGATATATCAATGAAGAAAATGAAAGCTTCCTGTATACAAGGCACAGTCCTAGATGTTGAGTATATATTAAATGAAGTGTTTTTCTAGAGTTTGCAGACTCAGGGAGACAGTAAGCAGATTATTATACAGCAGGGGGCTGCATATTGGAGCAGAGGTAAGCACAGACAGGAAACCTATTATGGAGGTGGTGGTCAGGGTGCATGGCCAGAAACAGCAGAGCAGCAAGCCCTCCACAAACATGCGCTGTCTCAGTGGAATTTAATATCCACAAGGCTAGCCTTGCAGGAAAGCTTTTAGCAAAATCTTTAACATTCCTCACCCAAATTCTCACTAATTTTATTCTTTGCTTTAGAGAAAAGTGTAAATGTGGAGTCCAGTCATCTCTCAGTTAAATGTTTTTAAATTTTGAGATGTGCGGGGCTGCCAGGTGGCATTGGTGATCTGAATAAGAAACAGGGAAAGACTCAAGGGGCCGGCTTCACTTTTATTTAGTCTAACTGCTCATCACTCAATCTGTTCCCTTCAATTCTGTTTCCTTTAAGGCATGAATTTGTAGCCAATTTACCAAGGTTGAAAAAATCACGGGACATGGTAATAGTAACAATACCTGTCACTTGTTGAACATGCAGTATGTGTCAGGCACAGTTCTAATAACTTTATCAGGGTTCATCTCTAAACAATCTGATGATTTAAGTACTGTTTGTATCCCCATTTTTCAGACAAGAAAATTGAGGCATGGTGACATTGAAAATTTGCCTTAGGTCACAATAGCTCCAGAGTCCAAGCTCTCAAATCCCATTCTTATTGCTTCCACCCTACTCCCTCTCCTTAAGGTCAGGGCTTACCAGAAAGCAAAGTAATTCAAGCTCTCAGATACTCAAAATTCTGTGTAATGGGGACTTTGACTTAGGCTGCTTTTGGTTAAGGTTTAAAGGCTGGGAAGAGAGTGGTCTGGGGTAGAGTCTGTCTTTTGGTATTTCTGATATTTTAAATATGGCAGTTGATGACTTTGTCAAATAAATACCCATTTCCTGTTTTAGGAGATAGAGGAGAGGGAGCAATTGTAAAGGTGCCTAGAAAAAAAGGAATGTCTGACATATGAAAGTTCCAGTCTTCTCCTCATCCTCAGTTTACAACTAACCTCTTCACTTCCTTTAAATTAAGAAAAGTCTTATGTGATAATGGAAAACACAAGACAATATACTCAATAGAGCAAAATAGTGAGACCCCTGCCTTTAGAGTCAGATTCTACTTACCACCTAGAAAGCTTTCAGCAAATTATTTATATTTCTGTGAACTTTAGTTTTCTCACTCATAAAATGAGAATAATGATACATTTCTTATAGGGTAGTTTTGAGTATTATAATGAGATAATCCAAGGTCAGGGCTCAGCATAGTGCCTGGCATAGAGTTCATTGTTTCTCCTGTGCTACAGCTTCCACTTCTCTCTCTTAATGGTTATGCCACCATCGCCACTATCATCATCACCACCATTGCTTACACCATCACCATGACCTTCATAACTTCCATCACCACCATTACCACCATCACCATTACCACCACCAGCACTGCCATAATCACCATCACCATCAGCATTACCATCAACACTACCACCATCACCACCACCACCACTACCACCATCACTATTACCACCACTGCCAGCACCATCAATACCATCATCACTAGAGTCACTACATCACTACAATCACCATTACCACCTCCAGTATCACTGTCACCATTACCTCCATCACCACCATCACTACCACCATGATCACTATCACCACCACCCAAAGACACTATCACTACCATCACCATGACCACCACAGCACTGCCACAGTCACTATCACCATTACCTCCATCACCACCCAAACTATCACCACAACCATTATCACCACCACTGCCACAATCACCATCACCACCACCATCACCGTCATCATCACCTCCATCACCACCACCATCATTATCATCATCACCTCCATCAGCACCATCACCATCATCATCACCTCCATCAGTACTACCATCACCATCATCATCACCTCCATGCCTACCACCATCATCATTGCCATCATTATCTCCACCACCACTATCAATGCTACCACTACCATCAGCAGTACCATCACCTCCACCACCACCACCTCCACCACCACCATCACCACCGCCATCACCATCGCCATCATTATCTCCACTGCCACCATCAATACCACCAGCACTACCACCACCATCAGCAGCAGCACCATCACTTCCACCACCACCACCACCACCATCACCACCACCATCACCTCTACCATCACCATTGTCATTTCACCATCATCAGTATGCTTACTTCTGACTGGCTGCCATCTGGCTTCAATTACACAAAGATCGTTATAGAGAGGCAGAAAGAATCATGGAAGGAGTCTCGTGTGATGACTGGAGGCTTGGGTTTGATTGCATGCACTGCAGCCTGCAGCAGTGTCTCCTTGTAGAAGGCAATTCAACTTTCTGAGCTTTTTTTGTTATGGAAATAGCACAAATGCTTGTATCACATGCATTAATAAAATCATGAGGAGGAACTGGGTTTCCCAGAGAATGAGTCTCTTCCCTGCAGGAGTGGAGCTGCCTAGCTAACCCCATGTCTGCAGATATCCTTGAGGACACAGCTGAAGCCGCAACAGATCCAAAAAATCCAGGGTCTTGGCACTTATGCAGGTTTATCAGATAAGTATGAATGGTCCAGGTCCCTATCCTGTTTCCTGAATTGGCACAGGTAGCAGGAAAACAGAGCTTGGAACAAGTATACACATTTAATTTGGTAGATGTTACTACTAATGGTGATTTCAATGCTTCAGGGATTTCAAAAGAAATCTTCTCTACATTGATATTAACTTGCAATCATTTTTCCCACTCAAGCTTGTGCCTTGAATGTGCTGACAATGCCCTCTATCCTTCTTACTGTTTTTCTTTCTGGTTTCAGCTCCTTCAGAGATCACCTTTGCCATTGATGTCGGGAATGGTCCTGTAGAGCTTGTAGTCCAGTCTCCTTCTCTTCTGAATGACAACCAATGGCATTATGTCCGGGCTGAGAGGAACCTCAAGGAGACCTCCCTGCAGGTGGACAACCTTCCAAGGAGCACCAGGGAGACATCAGAGGAGGGCCATTTCCGACTGCAGCTGAACAGCCAGTTGTTTGTAGGTAGGGGACATCTTAAGGCTCCCTTCATGCTAAGCCCCTACAACATCACTGTGTGACCATATCCAAGAAAAATTTCTCTTTTATTTTAGATCTGGGATATGATCAAAATGTCATAAATCATTTCTAATTGTGAATTTTGTTCTGTAAATTCTTTATTTCTGTCTTCATTAACTATAGCAAGTTAAGATGATACTAACCTTTAGCAAATTTCGAGGTTGTCCAGGTTCTGTACATTTTCTTTTTGTAATATTGTCTTTTCTTTCCAGGGACCCATTTTGTTCTTCATCATTATAGTATAAGTCTGCTCTATGGGACAGGACATGTCACCTCTTTACAACTTAGTGGGTGTAGACTCTGTCATAGGCTGCCCTTCCAAGTGATGCCCCACTCCTGATAATTGTTGGTATCCATGTAATCAGGGAATTGAGCCATTTCAAAGGGACTTCTGTCATCAATGACACGGTTGGGAGAGGAATAACCCCTTTCTAAGTCAGTGGCCTCTTTGGTACTCCCTGAAATCATAGCACTGGGGATCAGCCTGATGCAGGTTGTTCATCTGAAATGGTAACTGCTGGTGGTGGGAGCCTGGAAACATCCAGGCATCCTTCTCTTAGTCATTCCTCACTTCTTTTATTCTGCTAGTAGTCACTGAGCATCTACGACAGGTCAGGTACTTGTTAGGGAGTATTGAAAGATGAATTGAGCAGAGTTACTGTTCTTCAAGGAGCTCATCATCCTCTGGGGTGTGTGTGTGTGTATGTGTGTGTGTGTGTGTGTGTGTCACAGAGAAGAGAGCATGGGGTTTTGGAAGTCTGTCTTCAGTGCTTGAGCCTTAACTCCATTTAAGTTGACATTTTTAATTCCCTTGTCCTAATCCTTAGATTTTGCTAAATATAAAAAAGTGTGTGTGTGTGTGTGTGTGTGTGTGTGTGTGTGTGTGAGAGAGAGAGAGAGATATGAGGGAGAGTCTGATATAGGGCCAGCCTTATAGCTGTAGTCAAAAAAAAATTAAGGTTGGTAGAGCTTTAAAATACAAAATTGAGCTCTAAAAGTTAAGAAATATTGTCAATACTACCAAAACCAAGAGTGTGCTTTTGTATAAAACCTGGACTTCAGATGCTTAGAACAGTGATGTAAATAAGTAACAGAATTTGTCAGTCTACCCAGATTTCACTTTGTTTATTTTTTCGACAACTCTCACTCTACATGCCTTCACTGCTAGTGATGAAATGCCATCAGCACTCAATGAAAGTTTCCTACGTGCTTCCTTTAAATTTAGGTTTTTGCAACTTTTAACTCCAAGGAAAGCAGTCGCTGAAGTCACACGAGCAAAAGAAAATAAGTAGCAGAATGTGAGGATGTCATATTCTCTTTTCTCAACAGGAACCATATTTCTTTCTGCATCTGTCATATACCCTAGGTCCAGCAGAAGCTAAGATACAAATGATTAAAACAGTTTTATGATTGCAAGTCATTTGCTTAATTAATAACCCATATACATGATATGATTTACTATTAAAATATTTTTAAAATTTATATTGCTGTTTTAATTCTACATCACATTTTGATGTGTGACTTCTGAGGAAGGTTACTAGTCATCAGAATCTAACATATTTTTTGGTGGAATCAAGTTAAGTGTTTCACAATTTTCATAAATTATAATCCATGCCAAAGTTTAATTTATCTTCAGGCAGTATTTATGAATCTTTCTGGCTGAAAGGTATATATAAAGATGGAATAATTTTGTTACCCTTTCATGCAAATTTTATGTAGCTATGAAATTATCATATGAACTGGATATGTGATAAAGTTTGTGCAAGGCAAAAGGGAAAGGTGGCAGCTGGGTTTCATGGCAGATTGCTATCTGCAGACGTTTCAGTTAAATTGATCACAAATGCAATGAGCTGTAAGAATATGTCAGTGGGTCTGGAGGAGATATCTTGCTGGAGCTGGAGCCAAGGTCAGCTGTGGCAAGAGCACCTGCTTCTGTTATGTTTCTCTCCAATAAGTCCCATCTCAGATGTTACTCTGCTTTATTGAATTTGTCTTAATGTACTTAAAGAAGAAAAAATGTTGTTGAAGGTCAGGCATTTTAGTCTTTCAGTTTGAATCTTCCTATTTAGAGTTCAGTGATGTGCCCATTTAGAAATATCAAGTGGCCAACAAAGCTGAAGTCTCAAAATTTCCATCTTGCACAATTCAATTGTTTAATAAATACATAGATAAATAAGTAAGGCCTGCTTAGTTATAGTCACCTGAATGAACAATTGCATTCTCTATTGTTCAGAAATTGAGAGGCACTGGATATTTATTTTTGCTAGAGATATCACTGGCATGTGCTTCTTTCCTGGAATAGATTGAGTGTAGCATTACTTAAATATTAATTTCGATATGTCTGTCTAGATATCTTTGGCCACTGAAGGATCTTTCAATCAAAACGGAGCATCCTTTAGCATTGTAATCCCTGGCACAGCTGCCGTGGTCATGAGTGTTTCCTAAGTACCAGAAAGAGGCTACGTTTTTAGAATAGAATGTTTCTCTTAGCACTGCCCCTGTCATTGGAATGTGACAGGTTGAAGTGCTGATACATGAGTCAATGCATGCTGGATTTCCAGAATCAATATTTTAACTTCAGGCTGTTATATCACCATGATGGGTAGGGACATTTGCAGCCATGCCATTTCACCAGTCACATTTCTTTAACAGAGCAGGAGACTCTTCACAACATGCAGCTTCTGAAATGTATGCTGCAAACGTGTGGCATTCTCACCTTTGGAACTGTCAATAGTACCACCCCTTCTGCTTTGTAATTCCCCAGTAATGTGTGCATCAATAGGAGGACGAGGAAAGAAAAATCCAAGAGCCACCACTCATTGCTGAAAGTGAAATGGAGAGATCTGAGTATGCATTCCAGGTCAGATGCCAGCAAGCCGTAGGCACTGGGTAGAAAAGATAACCAGCATGAGTATACTATTGTCTTTATCTGCAGAATGAAAATGAGGAGACTGTAACTGATCTTATAAGACTTGAAGATGTGCTATCTGCATGTATAAATTATGAACGACTGTCACACCTAGCATCATGCCCGTGTGTAGGTAACAGCAAAGAAAATATCTCATTCCCTCCAAACCTAACACGAGATATTTCAAAATATGCTACAATTACAGAGTGGAAATTTTGTGAAGATGTGGGCCTATGAGTCTCATTTTATGACTTTAGTTTCTTCTACTTTATTTTCCCCCATGGACCTATTTTTTTTTTCTTGGCCCAACTGCACTATTTGTGTCAAAATAAACTGAAGTTACTCCAATCTTACAATCCCCTGGGGAAAATGCTACACTGACTTGATAAATCATAACATTTGGAGAGATTTCCCCCAAAATTGCTGTTCTTGCTTCCAGGCTGGTAGGGAATGATTATTCCTATTTTCAGGTGAAGCATGTCAAACTCAGTGAGGTGAAGGGTGAAGCCAGGCTGGCTTGGCTTGCACATGTTAATTTTGTGCTCTGGCACTTCCTAAACTCTTGATTTGTGGCATAATGCAACACATAAAGAAGAGGCCCCAGTCTCCTCTTGGAATAGTAACTTATATTTGACCCTTGAGAGTGTCTCATGAAGATAGCTGTCCTGACGCAGGCCTGTGGAACTTCCCATTTGGTTTGATGTCATGTGTCTCATAGTATAGGAAGAGATCTATATTCTCTTCATACTGAGAAATAATTGGAAAATTAGCCGGTAACATATTTTTACATAAAGCTATTATGCATGGAGGACAATTATCATTATGTCAATGATGAAGCAAAAGGTGAAGAAACGATAGTTGTCTTTTTGACATTATATAAATCTCTGTTTATGTCTGTTATTCCCTGTAAAAGTGTGTTTTTTCAAAGTTAAATAATATATTAAATTTACTTCAATTTTTGTGGGAAAAATTAATATATGACTTCTGATGTTCCCTTAATAATTACATAAAGGAAATTGTTCTGGTTGGTTTAAGAAGATGCTAAGAGATCTCTGAGCGCTAGAAGTCAGGTCCTGGGACTGCCTCAGTAGCTGCATAAGCACTCAATGGCCACTCAAAAATGCATCTTTAGTGGAAAAAATGGAGGAAGAACACCAGGGTTTGTCCCTAACACCAGTGCTCCACAAAATCAGATTCTTAGAGCTTGAAAATATTTGAAAAAAAAAAAAACACTGGTTCTGTTTTTATATTTAGGAAAAGTTAACGATTAAGTCACCCTTAAGCAAAATTTTGTCTCTTCTTGAAGATATGAGAATTGGATTCATTTAACACACCCCAACACCCATTTTAGTATTTTCCACCTGCTACTATCTATCTATCTATATAAATGATATGTATATATATTTATATGTGTGTGGGTGTGTATGTGTGTGTGTATTTTTGAAACAGGGTCTCTCTCTGTCACCCAGGCTGGAGTGCAGTGGCACGATCTCAGGATCTCAGTTCACTGAAACCTCTGTCTCCTGGGTTCAAGCAACTCTCCCTCCTCAGCCTCCCGAGTAGCTTGGGTTATATGCTGCCACACTCAGCTAATTTTTGCATTTTTAATAGAGACGGGGTTTCTTCATGTTGCCAGGGTTGTCTCTAACTCCTGGGCTCAAGCAATCTGCCCACCTCAGCCTCCCAAATTGCCCCCTATTATTTAAGACACATTTATGAAATGTTTATCGACAACCTCTTCTGCTTTCTTTGAGGTCATTTTATCATCTTTTGGTCTCTGCTGGATTAAAATGGGCAATTGAAGCAGAATGGAGGGGTATGTGTGTGTGTGTGTGTGTGTGTGTATGTGTGTACACTTTTTTAAAGGAGAATGCAGCATAGTATCATTATCTCATGAAGCCCAGAAAGACCCCCAAGCTTCAGATCTCTCAAAAACTCAAAGTTAGAAGCAGTAATTTGATTCTCTTGGCACTTCCACTTGTCAACATTTATAACTCAGTAAAGAAAGCAATCATTAGAAGAGCATCATTTATGTGAA